ACCCTGGCCGCCCGGGCCGCCCAGGCCGCCCGCCGGGCCTCGGCCGCCGCCTGCAGCTCCTCCTGCAGAGCCTGCAGCTCCCGCACCAGCAGCGCCAACTCGTCAGCCCCGTGCTCCCGGACCCCAGGCACACTCGTGGGCTGCGGAGCCTCCGGGGGACAGGCGCCCAGGACTGTGTCCTGCAGAGAGAGACCCACATGGGAGGGCGGGCGGCCACACAGCCTTCAGCACCACAGCCCAGACCCCCAGCCGGCGGAGATGGAGGCCCAGGGGCAGTGCCCACCCCGGGTCACACAGCAAGCTGGACAGCCACCATCACGCAGGAATGGAGGCCAAGGAGGCACTGAAGCCAGCCATCTGGAAGGCTGAAGACCGCTGAGAAGTCTGGGCGCCCCCAGGGGCTGGGCACGGTGCATGGGGGGCTGCAGGCCTGGGTGCGAAGCTGGCTTCCGGTGGGAACGCTGTGTGGCCCGAGTCTGCCCTCCCTATCCCCCGGGAACTGGGAGGCCCCACTGCCCACCCAGGGGTCCCGTAGTCAAGGCCCAGGGGGGGCAGGCGGGGAGGGCGGGGAGGGCGGGCTGACCATCCACTGCCAGAAGACCGGCTCCCTGCGGCGCCACTCCAGGGCGGCCTCCAGGCGTGCATTCTCCCTCTCCAGGCTCCGCAGCACCTGTAACCGACCACACGCCGACCACACGCCAGCCGTCAGATCCAGTGCTGCTGCCGGCCCCAGCCGAGCACTCGCCGGCCACAGCACAGGCCAGCTCCCCCTGCCAGCCGGCCCCACACCAGCCCCCGGCTGCGAGCACCTGGGGCTCAGGGCCTGAGTCCAGGCAGCCTCTGCCTTGGGACCTCCACCCCACACCCCTTGCTGATTGGGGTGCCCCCCAGAGACTGCCCCCCAGAGACTGCCAGCAGATGGGGCAGGGGAGCTCCTCTGCTGTAACCTGGGACAGCCCAAAGGCAGGGCAGAGGGTGCATGAAGCACAGCTGTAAGCGGTGCAGCCCTCGGCCTGGGCACAGCCCCGCCCAGCACCCACAGCTCGTCCCTGTGCCCGCAGAAGGCTGCGTGCCCCCAGGGGGCTGGGGCTGGCCGAGGGACCGCCCCACACTTCATACCTGGCGCCCTGCATCAGCCTTGGGAGGCTGGGCTAAGGGCCCAGCCCAGGCAGGCAGCACCATCCGCCTGAGCTGGGGAGCGGGGGTCAGCCTCTGCGCCCATCGGGAACGCCCCAGGCCGGCGCCTGCTGTGGCTCCTCTGAACATGCAGCCAGGTGCTGGCCATAGACACGGCTTCTTCTAGAGCAGTGGTCCCCACCCTTTGTGGCACCAGGGCCCAGTGCTCCTATGAGAATGTGACGCCTGAGGGTCTGAGGCGGAGCCGAGGTGGTGACGCCAGGGCTGGGGAGCGGCTGCAGATACAGGGGGCACTTCGCTCTCTCGCCCGCCGCTCACCTGCTGGGTGGCCCGGTTCCTGACAGGCCACCGACCAATACCTGTCCACAGCCCTGAGGTTGGGGACCCCTGTTCTAGAAGACAGAGGTGCTGGGCCATCTGGGAACCCAGGAGCACGTCCCTGGCCTGGACGAATGTCCGGAACGCAGCAGCCACACCGTCTGCCAGGCCACCACACACAGCGGGGCAGTGCACACACCCAGGGCTACCACACCAGTGACCCTGGTCTCCCCTAGCCAGGAGGGCCCCCACCCTGCCCCCCAATCCTGCTCCTGGCCCCATGGAGAACCCAGAGTGCGGGCCGGGCAGCTGGAGCCTGGAGCTCTAGGGGTCGGACGGGGCGGTCCCGAGTGCCAGGCCAAGACCCGGCCAGGCCGTCCGTGCCGCAGCTGGAGGCGGCCGCCCTGAGACACAGCTGGCAGCCTGGGCAGCAGAGCCGGGAGGGCTCAGACACGTGGGGCATGTGCCCACGCCCACCCACAGATGGCCGCGCGTGCACGCACACACACTGGCCACTTAGAAGAGCGGGTTACGCCGTGTCCACG